GTTCTGGGGAGGCCTTCCCTGCAGCCTGGGCTTCCCTGCCTGGCAGCCTTGGCCCTGTTTCCCGGTCCCACACCGTCCTCTTTCTTGGGTATTCTTTCAGTTTGGAGGAGCATGTTCTTAATGGGCTTCCTGAGAAGGGCGTTTTTTCCTGGGAAATTTCCTTCATCTTTTCACTCTAAAATGACAAATTATATTTTGGCTCTCCTAGATCAATCCTCTGTAGTTTTCTTTTTATTTCTCCTGTATTTCGTCTTTTTTTTTTTTTGTGACCTTGCTTTTCTGAAATATCTTTATTTTCACTCTTGATTGACAGTGTGGATACAATATCTCAGTTTGGAAATGGTTTTCTCTCCAAATTCAGAAGCATTACCTGCACACCTGTCTTTTAAGTATTGCTGTAGACAAGTTCCTTGCTGTTCTTGATCCTTTGTGTGTGGCCTTTATTTCCCCTGTAGAATCTTTGAGGGTCATTTCTTTGGCACCAGTGGTCTGTAATTGCCCCACCATGTATGATTCTTCATTCATCATTCTTGATGCCTCATGGGACCTTTCCATGTGGAAATGTTTCATTCCATTCTCGAAAATTATCTTGTCTGTTTCTTCAAAAATTTCCTTCATCTTTTCACTCTAAAATGACAAATTATATTTTGGGTCTCCTAGATCAATCCTCTGTAGTTTTCTTTTTATTTCTCCTGCATTTCATCTTTTTTTTTTTAACCTTCTGACAGATTTCCTCAAGAATTTGTTTAAATTTTAAATACTTACGTGTCTCACTTGTGATTGGTGAAAATATCACAATATGAAATTTAAAAAATAGAAAATATGAAACCATATAATCTTAACCATGTTTAAAAAAAGAACTGTGAGTAAAGACATCATAATTTTAACAGTGGTTATCGCTTCTGCATATTGACATAATGCATGGCTACTCTTATTTTTATGTATTTTCCAAATATTTTATGAATGGCATTTTCTCTTACAATCAAGGAGAAGTTTAAAGATACTATGCCATTTTGATCTTGTCTTTCTACCATGGCAAAATATAAAACATTAGCATTAATAAGGGATTTTGGTAACAGGTCAGTCTTTATGCAAATGTACATATATGTTGTCAAAATAAATATGAGAAATATTTTTTATTTAAGTCTGAATTATAAAGTATAGATAAAGTTTCCTAAAACAGTAAAATATACTTTCAGTTGGAAGAAAAGGATTAACTCAAGTATTTTTTAAAAGTGATTTTTAAAACATAATATGATTTTAACAGACTTATGTCAGATCTTTCTCTACTCAGTTGTGCACAAACTCTTAAAATAATAAGTATATTAGCAAGAATATAGATTTAATTGTTTTAAAGTTAGTATCATTTATGCCATAGAAAGAGTTAAGGTTTAATGAAAAGAGAGGGTCTTACAGAGTCAGGAAGACTCGATTCCACTGCTAATTGCATACTTGTATGACCTCAGGAAGTTTCCTAGTGACCCTTCTCTGCCTTGACCTGGTTATCTGTAAGATGGCAGTAACTTTTGCTTCAGAGTTAGATGACAATGTACTTAAAACACTTAAGCAAAGAGTAGTGGTTGAATGAATGTTGGGATTTTTTCCTTTTCCCCAAGAAAAGTAAGAAAATAACTAGTGTACTGGTTAAATTTGGGCCTAGGGATTTTCTCATTTGCAGCTTTGAAAAAGGAAGACCAGCTGAGAAAAATCTTGATCTGGTAAAGAAAATGCCAAGCAAATGCATGGTTTCTTCCAATAATCAAGAATTTCCCTACCCCCTTACTCTTTCAAACTCTGATGATTAGGATAAAAAGTAAAAATTATTTTTTCTTTTTGGAATCTTATTTGTAGATGCTATTATATCTTTGATTGTTATAGGAGAGTAGCGCTAGAGATCAAGTTCTTTGAGCTGCACTTTAGTGATGGGCTTAGAATCAATATAGCATAAAGAAAGGAACATGAAGAAAAGTGTGACTACTTAATTCAGGTGCCTTGTCAGTATTTACCTTTTTATAAAAACAGCTTTGTTGAGATATAATTCGCATGCTCTGTTACCTGTTTAAAGCATATAATCAAGTGGCTGGCAGAACATTTGCAGGGTAGTGCAGCCATCACCACAACCTGGTGCATGCTCATTATACCAAAAGAAACCCGTGTCCTAGTCATCACCCCCCAATTCTCTTGGCCTCTTCCAGCCCCTGGAAATTACTAATCTATATTCTGTCTCTATAAATGTGCCTATTATGGATATTTCAGATAAATAGGATCATACATAATGTAGTCCTTAGTGACTGGCTTCTTTCTGCACTTCACCTGCTAACCATTTATTTGGAAAACAAGTTGCTCTCAACATTTGGCTGATAATGCCAGATAGTAAACTTCAAATTACTTTTTTTCCCTTTCTCTCCCCCTTTCAAATCACTTTTAAACTTAGAGCAAATAGAAAATGCAACAGTTCTCAGGGAACTTTGCTGCAGATATTTTGACACACTATTTAAATATGCTACTTAAATTTTTTAAAAAATTTTATTAACAGAAGCTCCACATATTCAAAAAGTACCATTTGGTGAGTTTTGACTAAAACATGTACCTATGAGTCTTCTTGTATCCCTAGTAATCTGTGTCTTATTTGATGCTATCTGATTGCCAGGCTTGTTTAAAAATTAATTAAATGAGGTAATACTGTGGAGTAAGTATAGTGGTGAGAGGCAGTGTGCGGCATGCAGGCTAGCGGGGTGACTTCATGTTAATACTGTAACTTCTCTAATTCTGTTTTCTCATTTGTAAAATGGAGTTACTAGTGCCTCTCTCCAGTGCCGTGGTCTGTATTCAGTTAAACATTCTTATGAAGCAGTATCTGACATAATAAGCACTCCATGTGGTAGCTGTTGTTAATGTTACTTTGCATTATACTAAAGTACTTGATGTATTAGCTAATTCATCATCATTATTCACCTACTTTGCAGCTTAACACATGGTAGGTACTCAATTTATATTCATTCTTTCTCCCTTTCCTTCTTAATTTTTGATAATCGCACCATATAGCATGTGTTACTGTTTAGTAATCCTAACTACCAACTTTGAGAACTGCTTTGGAGAATTTACATTGATTCATTCATTCATCCAACAAATTTTATCAGGCTCATGTTGTGTGTCATTCACTGAACCAGGCACTGTAAACGATCCCAAGTTGAATAAGACACGAGGTACACCCTGCATACACTTCCCCAGGGTTGGGGCAGAATGTCTAGAGGTGATGGAGGAACAATGTAGCATATTAGTTCTGGGGCAGGAGTGAGTGCTTCCAGCTGTGGAGAGTCAGGGATGGCCCTTGGAGGGTGAGTGATGGGGCAGGAGGGAAGATGTTTAATCTGAGCAGTGGGATCAGTAGCTCAGTCTGGGAGCAGGGAGCAGCCCAGAGGAGGTGGGAAGACCTCATAGAGGAGATGAGTGACGACACAGCTGGCAAGGACTGGGTCAGTCCCCCGCCACGCTTCCTCGGGCTGAGGAGGTGAGCTGTGTTTTGTCATGTGGTGGAGAGCCTGTGGAGATTTTTCAGCAGAGGAGACAGTTGAGCAGTCAGGACATTAAAGTGTCTGGATGTTAATTAGGATCTTAACTAGGTCAGCGACTACTAGAAAGGAAACAGGTAAAAATACAAGACATCCCCAGGGCTGGTGCCGGATCAGCTGACAGGGTCAGCTTTTGTCTCGTGGAATGTGTGAAGAGTGCTTACAGAGCGCCAGCTGCTCCTATTCCGTCCCCACAGCAATGAGGTGCAGGTGCAGTTCTACCCATTTTTCAGATGAGGAAGCTAAGGCTTGGTGTGGCTGAGAGAAATCTCCACCTCCACCATCCAATACCACACCCTTTAAAAATCGATCTGCAGCAACTTGTAAAGAATACATGTAGCAGGAAAACCCAGAAGGATGGATAAACAAGAGCAAATGGACTGTTTGGTTAGAAAAATAAAGCCAAGAAAGAAGTTAGTACAGAAATATTTTCCATCATGCCCCACACATTGCTGGAGGAAGCATTAGCTTTTACTCTGAACTTCCCAGTTAAAGTGAAAGGGCAGCATGAACTGTTTTCCCATTGCCAGTCAGATGCATAGAGCCCATTGCTCTGGAGAATTGAAAGAAATGGTTCTGGGGTGAATGGGGACATGGTACCAAGTCTTAAAGGCAGCCCTATGGTATATGCATGCTAAGTTTCATGGGGTGGCTTCCCGTAAGAGGCCTTGAGCAGCTGTGTTGTGGAACACCAAAGCGTACTTTATAAAAGCCAGGACCCCAAAACACAGTTTCTTTTTGGTCCAACTTAACCCAAGGATAAAATACAGAATAACCAAAGGACTAATACTTGACTTTGTTGTAGTCACTGTTTTACATTTCTTTACTCCCAAAGTAGTCAGCTGGTCACAGGCAGGGTCCGTGCCTTCCTTTGGTTTGATCAGTGGTAGGAAACCTTCAGGGAAAGGACTGGGAGCTGTCTGTGTCTGTGATTGGTCCAGGGGCATCACAGCCTGCTTTGAATTCTGTGTGCTCAGATAGTTAGATGCATTATTGGAGATCCAAGATCTGCAAATAAAGGGTTTGAAATTTTCTTTGCTATTCCCAGGGACTGGCCTTCTGAGACAGTTTCCAGTAGCAGATGCACCAGCCTAGTGAAATGGCAATCGTAAGGGCCAGTCTGCTTCTAGCACTGACAGAGCCTTCAGAAAAATTAAATAAATTCAGCAGCACTCAGAGTTTTCATTTTCCCTTTGTCTATTGCATTTGGGGCCAAGATGATTTTATATTACTATATTGTCACGATTATTGAGTCAGATCCAGAGAGATGTGAGCATTTTCAAGAGAAAAGCAAGAATAGCAAACATATTCAATTCAATAACTTCAGTTCTCTCCAGATAGCTACTCTATAATTTAGGCCAAAGTGCATTGTGATGCTATAATACCTTTTTTCCTCTAAGGGCGGCTTTTCTTTCTTTTTACATATAGGAACTTGATAAAGAACTCCCAGTGCTTAAGCCGTATTTTATCGATGACCCTGAAGAAGTTGGCGTGCGGGAAGCTGGCTTGCGAGTCACGTGGCTGGGCCATGCCTCGGTGATGGTGGAAATGGATGAGCTCGTGTTCCTCACTGACCCGATCTTCAGCTCCCGCGCTTCCCCATCGCAGCATATGGGACCGAAGCGCTTTCGTCGTCCCCCATGCGCCATAAGCGACCTCCCCCCTGTAGATGCGGTCCTTATCAGTCACAACCACTATGACCACCTGGACTACAATTCTGTCATCGCTCTGAATGAGCGGTTCGGTAATGAGCTGAGATGGTTTGTGCCTTTGGGTCTCCTCGACTGGATGCAGAAATGTGGCTGTGAGAATGTGATCGAGCTGGACTGGTGGGAGGAGAACTGTGTTCCTGGACACGATAAGGTCACCTTTGTCTTCACACCTTCCCAACACTGGTGTAAAAGGACTCTAATGGATGACAACAAGGTCCTGTGGGGCAGCTGGTCCGTCTTGGGGCCTTGGAATCGATTTTTTTTTGCAGGAGATACTGGTTATTGTCCTGCTTTTGAAGAGATAGGAAAAAGATTTGGGCCTTTTGACCTTGCAGCTATTCCCATTGGAGCATATGCACCAAGGTATGTAGACCTCCTGCTGCATAATAAGTTAACTGAACTTAAAACCAGTGTAGTTATGATTTTGTGATTTCAGTGGCAGACTTTGTTTTGCATCAGTTGGGAGTGGGTGAATCAGTCAATTAAATTTTACTTTAAAATTAATTTCAATAAAATTTTTTGATGTGAAATATTTTAAATCGCAATCATACCAGTTAAGTATTCAAAATCAGAAATTATATTACCAAGAAAAAAGGACTGGTTTAAGGAATGACTATCCCTAACCAGAAGTTCGCGCACCCTTCCAACTCAGGCTGACCTCATCAGCCGTAGTCATACCCAACTCTCCCTTCCCCGCGGAGGTGCTCTCTGTGGAACCGCTCCCGCTCGGTGACTGAACACACCCACCCTGTCCGGCAGCAGAAGGGCCAGGAAGAGGCCTAGTGGGGTACTCCGTGGGGTGGCCGCCTCTCAGCGGGCGCTGAAGCTGACATCACTGCATCTCACAGTCACCCTCCAGCCTCTGCCCTCGCCACCCGTCTTCAGTTAAGGGTCAGACCAGGACAGCAGACCTCGGAGACCCAGCCACTGCCCCGGTCATACTGTCTACTCAAGGGGAAGGGAAATGGTTGCAAAGAATTTAGTACAAAGAGAAAACAAACACTAATGGTAATAAAGTCAGGGATAATTAAGAAAGTTTTATTTTCTAAAGTGCATGTACAGATACATGAGAATTGTATGTAGGATGGCATGTTATTCAGTCAGTCCTATAAGCAGAACACTTATAGAAGAATTGAACAAGTCTGATCATTGGTTTCCATCTGATTTTGTTACCTTTTTAAGTTCACTATACCCATTTCTTCACTTTCTTATTAATGCTTATTTCTTTTTTTCATTTTAAGGGACTTGATATTTTTATCTTAAACATTTAAATCAATGCAAGTGCCTGAATTTCACTTTCCCACTAAGCTATAATTCTGAATTCTAATGAAATCTCACAAAACATCAATGTTTTTACATTTACAGATCTATTTCAGAGTATTGATCTTTATGTCCTTAACATATTAGAATATCTTACTTGTAATTATGAAAATAAGTTTCTTACGTAGCAGCATATAAATGTGACAAGTATATGTGACGATGCAATGTGTACGGCCTGAACTACACGAGCTCCCCGGCTCCCCCTTCCTGCCGGCATCGGCATCGCAGCTGTCTTGTTGCTAAGGTGGGAGGACAGGACAGTGAGAATTACACTCTGGTGGCTTCTGCGTAATTTCTCTGGTCAGTACCACGAGTTTTAGAAATAAGGTTATTTATCAACAAAACTGCAGAGTGCTCTAGGAAGTAAGATGACGACACCAAAAACAACTTTCAGTGATGTATTCGTGACATTACTTTTGGGATCTCCTGCCACCAGGTATTCTATCCAAGTCAGTCAGGATTCAAAATGTTTACGTTCTACACCAAAGTAAAAATTTTAAATTTCATGTAGACTTGAGGGTAGAAAGGCTATGCCCACCCCTTTGATTTGCAGTAGTTTTTAAAAAAGAAGAGAAACACCAAAGACTGTTTTCATCTTGCCCGGGTCCGAGTGTCAGGAGACCACAGAGCAGCGCTTCTCTTGTCTGCCGCTGAAGAGAACGGGGAGGCCTTGTTTCTGGGCCCCCGGGGGTGGGCACCCCCAGTGGGAACAGCTGCCCCCCAGCTGGTGGAGATGGCGGCCCGGTCGGGAGCTGGCCTGTGAAGGGCGGGAGTGCCGCGTGAGCCCAGACCCCTAGTCCCACGGTGGCGTGGGTGGGCAGCAGTGGACCCAGGGGTGGGGAGTGTGAAGACAATGGTGGTTTCCTCTCCTAAACTCAAGGCTGGGAAAGCGGAGGATTTGCATGTTGATAATACTTTTTCCCTTTGTATCAGAGATAATACTTCTTTCTCTGGAAAAGTGTTATTTTTTGTCAACTCTTTACTCCTGGGAGAATTTTATGAAGTAGATGCTGTACTTGATGCTTTAAATTGTCTTGTTCACTCCTCCACTTTTCCAAGACGGGCATGATTTCTATTCACAGACTGGGACATCATGGAAGCTCAGAGAATGTGAAGGGACCTTGGAAAGGCATTCCCAGGAATTGGTAGGGCTGGCCTCCTACCCAGGCCCTCTACCTCCTGAGCCCCAGCCTTTCCCAGGCATCGGGCAGCCTGTTTCTACTCATATACCCTCTCTTCTTGCCAAACCAAACACTTCACTGTTCAATTTTGTGATGTTTGAATAAAGTCCTTGAATAGTAACTTGATTTTTTTGCTCCCAATCTTTAAATACTATCCACTTATTTTTGTTTTAGCAAACTTTGAAGAAGTTGTCTTGCAAGTTATTAAGATTATTTTACAATTGGGAGTTCTGGTTCTACTTCCTTACTTACCCATTATTCAGATTCGTACCAGGACTGCAAAATGCCTACTTTTTAGAGTAATGGCAAGACGTATCTTCAGAATAAATCAGTAAAGTCAAAGTATGAGTGAAACAAAATCTTACCATTCTAAGGGGACTTCTGCTTGAGACTTAACTACTGTGCAGCAGTTCGTACAATAAAAATTTTTAGTATTTTTCTAGCAGAAAAGTGAACATGAGAGACAATTTTGTCTACTGTGACTTACTCCTCTGCAGAATCTTAAAGGTTGATTAAATGAGCGGTAATGAGAATTTATTGTAATTTCAAAGGCCAAATTGATAAATTATTATTTTCCATCAGGTGGTTTATGAAATACCAGCATGTAGACCCAGAGGAAGCTGTAAGGATTCACATTGACGTTCAAGCAAAGAAATCTGTGGCAATTCACTGGGGAACTTTTGCCTTAGCAAATGAGGTGAGTGGTTGTGGTAAAAGGGACTTTGGTTACATGTTGAGCTTTAGGTGTTGCTGGACCCTGCAGTGTTCAGAGACCATACTGCCATCAGAACCCATGTAGTCGTCACGGTCACCATGTGAATTAAGGCGGTGAATCGTACTAAGGGCAACAATATTGATATACAGTGGGGAAAACACTTCAGTGCATGGTGTTTTTGGCTTATTTCTGTAATTAATGAAGCATGTGTTTATATCACCAAAAATGTGTGTAGTCTTGGGAAGCAGAAAAGTGAAACATCTCATCTTCCCTCTCAAGGAGAGGCTTTCATTCTAACATAAAACAGAACATGCACATAGTGACTCTGACACAAGTAGAAAGGGGTAAATCCTCTAAGGTGGGGAAGATAAAGTGGTCTCAGAGTCAGGGACCGTGACTGATGAGAGGGATCAGGCAGTGCTTCATGGAAGAGGTGACATTTGAAGTTGACTGTGAGGTGAGGAGGAAGCATTTCAGGAGGAGGAAAGGGAAGAGCATAGGATCAGAGGCAGCAAGCATGGGAAGCAGTGATGAATCAGTGCAGCTGGAATGTGGATGTGACATGGGGGGCAGTGGGGCACATAAAGCTGGACAGCTTGGAATTTTCTAGAAATGTTACTTATCCAGTAAATACCAATTGTCTGCTATGTACCAGACATTGGAATAAATGGTGGTTTTTACTCTTAGCCTAAATACAGAACAACTGATTTTTCCTTAAGGTAGCTGAATCCTAGAACTGTGGTACTAGCCAGAGTTCTGGGATCAGACAGAAGGATGGCAAGAAGCCTTCTCTTACCTGGATTCAGGGCCTGCTGTGAGCAAAATTTAGGAATCGATGGTTGAAGTTGGCTTCTCCTTTGCCATGTATGGCCTCTGTAGGAACCTTTTCTTTAAGCACTCCCCCTCTGTCCTATTTCTGGCCTCTCCTCCCCCTAAGTTGCATCTTGTTCCAAAACTACCTAATACATGGTCTGCCCACTCCTGTTCTTCCAATCAAAACTCCCATCCCATGATGCAGCAGCCCTGAGCTACCCTGGGGGATGGAGTGCAGTGGTAAGTGAATGACCATGGGGATATGGAGGATGAGAGTGTGCATGCGGGCATGCATGTGTGCAGAGAAGAGGGAAGTTTGACACTGGTTTCCAGGGATATTCCACTATATTTGGTGGCAGATTCTTATTCCATTTATATATATGTGTGTGTATATCTATGATGTATACCAGTGACTTAGATGAAGTAACAGTATTTCATTAAATTTGTGGAAGAGGAATTAGGATGACTCCTAAATTGTGAACTAGAGTAACTGGGAAAACAGTTTTGCCCTTTAGAGATGGGGAAGATGAGGAGTGGACAGGAGACCTCAGTCTTTAAGGCTTGCTGTGTTATTCAGCCTTTAAGAATTATTCCTGTTATAAATTAACTTCCATCTTTATTCTTTAACAAAACACAATTGATTTAGCAATTTGGAATTTGTTTCCATTTTGACATTAGTTGAAAAAACTTGACAACTGCCAGTTTGTTAAATTATAAAGTAGATGGAATTTTCTGGGAGGATGTTGAGCCTGTGAATTTAAACACTTTAAAATGACTTACATAGAAGTAATTATATAAGTGGCTTACTAAAGAATAGGCAGGTTGAGGTTGTCTTTAACTTGGCAACACTTTAAAATTATACAAATAGTAACAACTCATATATCTAGGGAATTATAAACTTCTTAGATGATATATTTAAAGCACTAAAGAAACTCAGTAGTTTTGGTAGAAATAAATTTCATGCATTACATGACCAGAGTCTGTATTATAAGTATATTCTATTGTAGTAGATCATAAAACAGTGATGCCTTTAAGAGGGAACTTTTGAGTTGTCTGGGGCTGGCTGCCTGGCCCTCAATGGATCCAGAGTGCTGGAAGCTTCTGCTTTCACTGCTTGCTCTTAGTTATGTCTAATCCACTGTCTTGCTTTGTGTATAGTCCCTGTATGACTGTGGAGCATTTAAGTGCTTGCCCCATGAGATCAGCCGTCTGTGCATTTTAAGCCACAGAAAATACTCCTGGTTCCTAGCACTTCACCTAGCTGTCCCTTCTCAGTCCCTGCTGCTAGTTCATCTCCCCTCGCTATAGACAGTAAGCAAGCCCATGGACCTCCTCCTCATCAGTCTGACAGCTTTAAATACCAGCTATCTGCTGTCCCCTGTAGCCTGAGTGTTCCCTCATCACCCATATTTGTATACCCAACTGCCTGTTCGACAGCCCCACGTGGGTGTCCACTTGGTGGCAGAAATTTAAGAACAGAACCAGACTTCCTGATCTTCCCTCAAACCTGTTTCTCTGACATCTTGGTAAATGGCAACTCCCTCCTTCACGTTACTCAGGCCAGAACCCTGCCCTCACTCTCGTTCCTCCACCCTGTTTCACCACTCAGTTCAACCTTCAGATTGTTTACACTGTGACCACTCTCACCCCCATGAGAACGGCCCTTACTGTACATTGCAGAGGGCAGCAACCTTTACACCCTGATCAGATCATGATGCTCTGCCAGAATGACCTGGCAGTTTGGCACCACACACCTCCTTGCAGTTCTTCGATTGCTTAAACCTCACTCCCCCACATTTGTCACCCTCCCATTTTCTCCACACAACTCATCAACTACTTATTTCTCATCTTCCTCTATATTAGAGTGTGGGCTCCAGACAGGCAAGGGTTGCCATCTGGCTCCCTGGCCTGGCTGCCCCACATAGGTGCCCAAAAAGTATTTGCCGCTTGAAGGGCAGAGGACATACCACTGGCAATTAGATCAGAAACTTTGATTCCTGCTTTATACTGCCACATTTTTATAGCTTTTATAACTGTAATTGTGGGAAAAACCCATTGAATAAAGAAAAAAAAAGGCTGTTATACACTGTAAAGATTTACTGGTGAAATGATTTACCCTTTAATTTAATAATCTTTTTATTCAGTAGTTAAATAATACATTCAAGTGGTTTCAGTTTGTTTTAGTCTACTCAAATGTTTTCCAAGTATCCTGCAACAGTGTGCTGTTCTCACTTCCTGAGCTTCGAAAAAGAACTTGGGAATATCACACCTGTCAGATATCTGTTCTCCGTCCCTTTTCACTCTCTGGACTAGTGTGATACTTGCCTCGGGGTCTGAGGATAACCCCTCTTTTTCAGCCAAAAATATGCTTACATACTTACTCTGTTTCTATATTCAAAAATATTGGTGACATTTAACTCTCTGATGTTATCTTGGCATTGATTCTCTTTAGATTGGAATTTCATGTAGTGAAGTAGCGATTAGATTTTGTGCAATATGAGGATGTTCAATCTAAGCACCAAATTTGACATACTTGATGTTTAAAGTATGACATTTCTATTGATTTAATTAATGACTATTTAGAAAATGTGACTGACTCATTTGCTAATGCTTCAATGAAAAGGGCATTAAGTACTCATATGCTGGTTATTTTAGTTCGAACTCTTGATTTGAAGTATTCCCCATATATGTATGGTTAATCTTTTTCCATTTTTTTTTCTCTCTGCCCTTTGCCAGCATTACTTAGAGCCCCCAGTGAAACTGAGTGAGGCTTTAGAAAGATACGGACTAAAGACTGAAGACTTCTTTGTCTTGAAGCACGGAGAATCAAGATACCTTAATACTGAGGATGAGAACTTTGAGTAACTATGAACAAGGGCGCTTTTAATGCAAAAGGCATCTTGTATAATAAATTTGGAAAGACTCATGAATATGAATGTTTTATGAATTTTTACATTTGGAAAACAACTGCAAGTTTGTTTTATGTAATATTGCTTAGTAGTATGATTGCCAGGTTATGTAAACAAAAAGCTTAGGGATGTCATTTAAACAATGAACTTGCTGATGTGGGTTTTAAATCATGTCTCTATGGTCTAAGCATTGCAGTGGAAATTTTTTAAAAGACATTATACTTCAGAATTTTAAGGTTAGGAAAAGCTGATTTTCAAGTCTTATTTCTGTTCTAGTCTTAAAGGCCTTATTCAAGTTTAGTCTTTTACTTAAATTTCTTCAGAGGGGTTTTACAATAGAAACAAACTTCTTGTATTCACATTAAATGATGAAATTGACTCCCACATGCTTACAGCAGTTCTTGCTCTACTAAGATTAGCCTGTATGCCAATTGTTAAGTGATTTATTTTTTTAAGCATAAAAACAGGAATTTGGGCGAAGTTAGCATTTTTAAAGAATTTTTAAAGGGGGGACCAGCATATTGTTTTGCACGCTTACAATCCCCAAATCTACGGGCCCTCTGAGTTGGGCAGAGGAAGGGGAAGTTTGTAGTTATGAGAACATGATTTATGAAATGTTCTATTTTTAAAGTCAGACCTACTAAAGCACAAATATAGCTGCAAGGAAATATTTTACAAAGATAAATGCAGATCTTAAATGTTAATACACATATACACTCTGAATAAAATTTATTCTTTCCATAGCTCATTTTTCCCTCATATACTTTCTAGTGGCCTCTCAGCTCAGACTCTTGATATCACTAGAATTTGTGAATATTTTGTTTTACATGATTCAGATGTCTTATTTTTATATTAAATGACCCCTAAGCACAATTTCTACTTCTATTAAGGCAGTGTAGAATACCAGTGATAAAAAAAGATGGTGAGTCTGGGAATCAGCTAACCTATTTCAGTCCTGTGAGATTCTGTAGTCCCTTGACGACTAAATCTTCCCAGGTGAAAGCTGACTAGATATACTTCAGACCCCTTCTATCTTCTTGCTCCAGTCTCAGCAAGATAAACTTTATTCACACAAAATTCTACACCAAACACTACCCTGGCAGGGCTATTTTCACATGTATATGCACACTACACATTAGCCACTTACCCTGAATTTCACTCCTGCTTCCACCGTGGATTTTCTGTGTAGCCTGATACAAGTAACCTGTGCTCACTGAGCCTCAGTTTCTTTCCTCAAGTGCAACAAGAGGATCATTCTGACCTACCTCCAAAAATGTGAATAATTGTTTTTAAACTTTATTCACACAAAATTCTACACCAAACACTACCCTGGCAGGGCTATTTTCACATGTATATGCACACTACACATTAGCCACTTACCCTGAATTTCACTCCTGCTTCCACCGTGGATTTTCTGTGTAGCCTGATACAAGTAACCTGTGCTCACTGAGCCTCAGTTTCTTTCCTCAAGTGCAACAAGAGGATCATTCTGACCTACCTCCAAAAATGTGAATAATTGTTTTTAAAAAGCACTTTGAAAATCTAAGGGAGAAAAATTATTTATCACTGCCTAACACAGGTAGATCTAAATCTGGAGAGTAATAGCCAAAATAAATGTAAATCTACATTTATCTACAAAGATGCAAATCAGTTAAGGAGAAATGTGTATGTAATGTATGTGAACGTGATTTGGTGATACTAAAGCACAAAAAATTTCCCCATAAAACAAACTTCCAGGAAAAAAACTGAACAAGCATACTTTTTCACTGCAAAGGGACATTTTAGCAAGTGGACAGAAATGAAGATGTAAAATTTGTAGTGGACTAGCTTTGGGGCATATTTCCCCAGTACTAGCCAGTGGTCTGGCCCCCTCCTTGCTGTTGCATGCTCAACTGAAAATCATCTTACCTCTGCTCTCTGCAGCAAGCCAAGCCAAGCACATCTTGCTTAATTACTTCTCCACGAATGGCCTTAACATTATTTTTGTCTTTGCAGGTACTGCTCCGCTGAGAGTCTCTGAGCACTTTATGTTCTAAATCTGCTTAATTGGGCCTCATTTTTCTAGGCCTCTTCACAAGCTTTAATATTTACTACTATTCATATTCTTTCTACTTGACATTTTGTTAAGAAGTACATTGAGCTTCACCTTTGTAGAATCTTACTCTGTTTAGTGGTTTCCAGCTTTTAACTTGTTGTCCATTTTGAAGGGTTAATGTGTAAAGCAAAAACAAATTTTGAAAGATAAGACAAGTCCATTCTTCCCTCCAAATATATGTTGAATACCTTTTAATCTGTCTTACCTCTAAGTCAATTTCATTTTCCTCTTTGATTACCTGGCATCTATACCAACTTGTAAGATTGTATTCAAGTTTCCCTTTCTCCTGTGGTAACTGAGGAACACTTTGATACTCCTCACTGCCCAAGAAGGTGGGACCATCAATTAGGAAAAATCGCACCTAATAAAAGCCAACATGTGCCATGATCTACATAAAGATAAACAGTGCACTTTCTCTTTGTAATTCTTTCTGGGTAGTAAAAAATGACTCCCCATTTCTCTAGCATTTTAACATTTCAGTCTCAAGCTCTAATCTCCAGGAAATGTGATTGTTCATTCAAACTAATAGAAGAAAGGTTTAGATGGGAGTTTTAGACTCTAGTGTTGCTAAAGCATATTGAAACCAAACACTGGTTTTAATGTGTGTACATTTTGAGTACATATTTTCATTAAATAAGGCCAATTAAAAAAGTTGTTATAAAGAAATGTGCCTTTCAGGGAATTAATGCATTTGCAGCACTCTGAAGTATCATTCTTAACCATCCTGTGTACACTGCTACTGTATGCCAAGTGGGACTATCTGTGTTTTCACCTTAACACTGACTCCTTTTTCTATTGTAAATTTTTCTTCCAAGTTTGATTTCTGTATCAGGATAACCCTGACAATGCACATTCTTTTGTGTGAGGATTTGTGACTTCCTCTGGAAATCTATGTACCAACAAATGAAATTTAAAGTACTCTTACAGCTTTACTTCAAATACCCGAATAGTAAAGCTGCTGCCTGCATACTGATTTACTTAATACTAAGGATGGTGGTGCTTATGAACCTGAGTATTATAAAACCTGGCTGAATTCAAATATATCAGTAAGTTATTATAGTACCCTTATGGTACAAAAATACTATTAAAAAATAGCTAAAACTTTTTCATATTGTAATTTTAGACCAATGAAAGATGGAGGAAAATTAATGAATAAAGTACTCTAAAGGGAAAATACATGTAGAACCTTGTGAGTTTTTTCCTTTTTATTTAAAAAAAGTTATAAAGGTTATGCTCATGGTAAAAAAAATCAAACAGTGGAAGAAGGTATATGCAGAAAAGTCATTTTCTCACTTTCAGCCTCACTTCCAGGAGTCTAGTCGGCACATTCACCCGTTTGTTCTTCTAAGAGCAGGTGACTGACTTTACCTATGGATGGGCATTTTGACTGATCCCAGTATTTCATACATAGTGTCTGCACTTAATGGCACAGCAAATGGCAGTGAATGAGTACTAGGAAACATTTCTTCTAAATGTTTACAGCTGTCCTTGACGAGAATAATATGATTAGGAAAGACCTGAAAGCGGCATGCCAGGCTGGCAGGTGGTCTCGAGAGCTCAGGATCTCATCCCTGCTAAACGGACTAAGTCCTTCTGATGGTAGTTCTGAAACAACGAATTCATCCCACACTCACGCTGCCTCAGACAAGTAACTGCAATCATTTCAAATCACATAAAAAGGTCGGTTACTTCACACAGGGAAATGACTGAAGTATCTCAGCAAACAGCAGAAAAGAAAGGTTTCAGAACAAGTTCTTCTGTTAGTTTGGTCTTAATGAAACAATCCAAAATAAACCAGAAGACCAAGGCAAATTATAGCTGTGTTAATGATGGAACATGTTATTTAGTGTTTAATTCAGCAGCTGAAAAATCCCTTTGTAAGGAAGATGAAAAAGTAAGCTGATGTGCATTACTTCCAGTCTGCATGACTCTGATAAAATATGACCGACCAACTGGTTAGAATTTTGGTACTGTTACCTTTTCCCTCACATCCACATCATGGTGATGAACTAAAGCTCTCATTTTCTGGGCACAGTCTTCTCCATATAACAGGTAAAACAGTGAACCTTTAGTGAAGTCAGGCTGAGCAGCCAAACAGCCTTCCTTTTTGAGGCAGTTATTTATATTCTGAAATAGTGAGAGAACTCGAACAAGAATCTCCTTTGCCACGTGGCTGTCATAAAGGGAAAGGAATGATGAATCCACCTGAAATAGGAAACAGGTATTGTAATATATGAAAATATTTTTCACCTACATTTTCATTTTAAAATTGCATTCACTACATTTTAAAAATCAGAAAATTATCCCTAAGACTGCACACCATAAAGTAAAATCTTACGCACCCCTATCATGTATCCAAATGGAAAAAAGAGGTTTTCTATTTTAACTGAAAAATACTATTTCCTTGAAAGCCTAGAATGTTGTCATTTGGGAAAACATCCATTTCCTTTTCACGATCCATCAGACAGTCTTCATGGGAATTCACTAATTCACCAGGCAAGCATTTACCGTGCCCATACCCTGTGAGGCACAGGGCTGGGGCACGGTGAGAAGATGGACACAAGAGGGCCCTTTTCTACAGGAGTTAAGGCTCATTCTATTTCCACTCCATCTCTGCTTCCTTTAGTGTACTTATCACAGCTTTTAAGTCTCTTGTTTGTTTCTTTAATTTTTTTTGGTGTGGCTCTTCTCCCTAGACTAAGCTCTAACAGGACAGCACCATGTCCTGCTGTGCTCAGAAGTGTATCCTGGCACTCAGTCCAGCACCTGGCACATGCCAGGGACTCAATAGATGCTAGTGTTTCAAGTGGCTATTAAGATACATGTGAACATAAAAAGGTCAAGTATAAAAGATTTGATGACATTAGCTTACTCCAAAATTGGGTAGAGAGAAAAATGGTAATTTGTTGTTGCTAGGGAGAAATTTTCGAAAACAATTTTTAAAAGTAAAATATGTTCATTACAGGAAACTTAGAAAATTCACACAGGCAAAAAAGAACCAAAAAAGCACCTGTAATATTGTTCCTTATAGATAATCTCTGTTAACATTTTGAGATAAATCTTTTCAGGTCGGTGTGTCTAAATCTATGTATTTGTAATATTTACAAAACAAATATGTAAGCTATTTACTTGGGCACCAAGTAGTCTTTCTGCCATGGCTGGATTTTCAGACAAATTCAAGAGCAGTTTTAAAACTTGAACCTGAAATAAAAATAATATCGATTTATTACAGACCAGCAAGCATGAATTCTCTCTCCCCTGCATGCTATCCTCTCACCATGTCTACGTTTTAAAGTCCTGCCTATGCTTCAAGGTCTGGCTCATACTCTCCTCCACGGAGCCCTCTCAACTCCTCTTACTTGACAGCGCTTGCTCCCTGAGCTCTTCTGACACTCAGCACTGCTCTCAGAGTGCCTACCACACCACAGTAGTACCTAAACCCTGCTTTTTCCAACTACAGTGTTAGAGAGAGAGAGTATTATGAGTTTGTCTTCACTATCCACCCCCAACCCACACATATCATACCAAACACCTGGTAAGCTTAACATAAATGATCTTTGTTATGATTACTGTTAAGTGAAACATGATCTCTGGAACAAAAAAGTGATCTCTCAAAGGTTAGTTTATTTCTATTTTAAAATATGAAAATTTTGGAACAGTTTTCTTACCAAGACTAAATAGATGATGGTATGGCCCTTTACAGTAGGTTACTATGAATCTTTGAGCTTATTTTTTTTATGTGAAAAATATTTTCTCATCATTTAAATAGGCAATGATATAATCAGCAAACAAATGTTAACCTATAGCTGAGTAGCTAAAATATCACCATGCTTACATCTTTTGCCTGTTAAGTCAGGACTGTATCCTATGGGGGATATGTTCTAAGACCCCCAGTGGGAGCCTGAAACTGCGGATAGTACTGAACCATATATATACACTATACATACATTTTTTTCCTGTACATACATACCTATGATAAAGTTTAACTTCTAGACACAATAAGATACTGATAATAAAACTGTAACATACTGTCATAAAATGTGATTATAATCTTGAAATTTTATCTTACTGTGAGATGATAAAATGCCTACATGGGATGAAGTGGGGTTAATGACACAAGCATTGTGACAGTGTTAGTACTGACCCTTCCGACCAGATGTCGGAAGGAGGATCATCTGCTTCCAGACTGCAGTTAACCGCGGGGGAAGTGAAACCGTGGGTAAGGGAGGACTACTGTAACAAAAACAGTCAAGAATTACTCCTTTAAAACAAAGGTCATGTAAAACTCTACTTCCTACAAAATACCTCAAGTTACAGAAAGCAAGGAGTATGGAGGGGGTCCTGACATCAGGGAAAGGTAATAAATGTGCTAGTGGACTTAGAAGGAAACTAGATGTTTATAAAATGTTTTTTGTTTACAAAATACATCATGTATTTACTATGGAACATTTTTTAAAAAATGGCAGGAAAGCATTAAGAAAAGGAAATTCACCCACATTTCCATGACCAGACATGATCACTATGAGGTTTTAGTATTTTCTTTCTGATTTTTAGGCTTCTATTCTACATACTCATGTATTCCTTTGATGATGTTGTTCCTATCAATTTGTTCATTAAGAAGAAAGATACAAGCCTTTGCTGATTTAATTTTTTATCAACTATTTAAAAAATACTTTATAAAATTAATACGTCATGATAAATTCCAAATAGTACAGAAAGGAACTAGATTAAAAACAAAAACCACCATCCTATCTGCTCGTTCCACTCCCCACTCAGAAACCACTGCTAACAGTTTCATGTACATGCAGAGACCATGTTTTTCAAGCACACATTCTTTATGAATTAGTCTCTCTCCCTGGAGGTCACCGTCAGACCCAGTCCAGCCCAACTGGCTGTAACAACAACAAGAATAAATGTTAGGAATAAACACTTGTCTCCAACACAACATCAATATGCTTTGATTAAGAAAATGGGAACAAGAGTTCTGGAGTAGGATAGTCCCACACCTGTGGAATAAGCCCAGATGAAGTCAGTAAAATCTAAAAGCCCACCAGTGCTCAGTGAGAGCAGGTGTACAAAAGGGAAGAGTAATGGCAAGAGTTATTTGGTGTCCTGAACGACCACTGCATATTGCTATGCTCTGCAGAAGGGAGTTAAACATGAGAAGAAAAAAAAAAAGAGCACAACTACAGATTAAACAGCTACAGATATCCCCTGCTTTTCACAAGTTCACATTGTGCAACTTCACTTTTAAGAAAAGACCTACATTACTTGTTTTCACTAACCAAAAGAAATCTCAAGCCGATACTTGTTTTAACAAAAAAAAAAAGAAAGAAAAGAAAGGAAGAACAGCATTCATCATTCGTGTTGCAGAGGGCCATTAACAGGGGCGGCAGCGTGTGCACCCCGAGCAGCGAGAGGGGCCCACCAAGCCCCTATCTGGGAGCCACACCAGCACCAAGCCTCTGTAGGTGTGAACTGTGTGAGCTTCTGTGCTTTATATCTTGGTTTATTTTGTGCATCCATTAGCAAGATGTGTCTTTAGGTATCAGAAAAGCCTAAGAGAAGTTATCTTTTGGATCTGGGGATGCTCAAAAATTTTGCCATATAAATTAATGGTAATGCTTCTCTGCTTTACGCTATTCCAGCTTACACAAAGTTTCACAAAAGGTTTTATGGGAACACTCTACTTTTAGAGAGCGGCGACCTATATGTGTACTTTGGCTTGAAATCATATTGTCTGTTTTTCTCTTATCAAATGTGCCATCTTGTGGTGAATGCAGAACATTTCTTTTAAGCTATTTTCTTTGCTCTTACTGCAGACATAACAAATACAAGGTTTATTTATGTTAATCTTCCACTATTTATACTTAGTTATGAATCAGTGTTTTTCCTAAAAGATTATTATTACAGTACAGTGAGATCCCTTATTAAAAGTAAGATTTTTATCACTTTGGTGGTTATTTAATAAGAAAATATATAATATGGATAACATTTTCCCACTTACAAACGGATTACCATCGAAAAGTTGATTTGCAATTTGGAACTTTAAACTCACTTTTTTAAAAAAATTCATTTTGTTATCATTAATCTACAATTACATGAAGAACACTGTTTACTAGACTCCCCCTTTCACCAAGTCCCCCCCACAAACCCCATTATAGTCACTATCCATCAGCATAGTAAGATGCTGTAGAATCACTACTTGTCTTCTCTGTTAAACTCACTTTTTATGGAGAAACATTATTATAATTGGTGGTTAGGTCCCAGACAGACCAAAAAAGCAAATTTTCTATCCTAGAAATACCATACTAGGCAATGCAATGGAAAAAAACAACAAAACAAAAATAGAATGTACTATTGTGGTATGAGTCACCTTTTCAAAAATCATAAAATATATTAAAACATAGGTCATGTCTGAGACGGATCTACAGAGCCACAAGGCCAGACTTGCCTGGCTATGTGCTTGGTGTTTCTCCTGAGGTTTTGGGTAAAGCAGCTGAGAGAGGCAGAGGAGATATTTTTTTTCCCCACAGCTGCAAGGCCTTGGGTGGAGGGAAGGGAGTTTCCACTGGGCTTCCTGTGGAGAGAATATTGATGGGTGCATGCATTTTGGAAACTGCCTATGGATGAAGCAATATTGCTTAAATGTTGCTGATATTATTATTACATTTAATTCCAAATGCCTTTGGGTATGTACATCTTGGGTCAGATCTGTAAGTAAGTCTGAGCACTGGAAATGTGGAAAGGCCATATAAAAACATCTCAGAACAAATTTTAAAAGGACAATAGTGAGGCTCTCCTGTAACCACTATCTGATAACCTCAGGAATAACATCAGTGATATTGAGTATTTGGGGTTTGGCTTCACATTTGGTCCTTCTAAAATGTTAATGCATTTTTCTCTCAACTGTGCCAAATAACACAGACCAATATGGCAAAATACTGATGAAGAATCAACCCAACTTCAGAAACTGACTAGTCTACCTTCTGTATTTACCCTTTTTCTTGAAAAATGGCATTTGTAAGAAGGCATACTAATATGAGGGGTTTACTCAAGTAACTTTCAGAGGGTGTTTCCTGAGATCCTGTGTAGTTCAGGTCAATCGCTACTGCCTCCTACAGCTACGTAACTGCGCAAAGAGAGGCACTGACACACCCATTACAAAAACTGAAAACGGTTTTATGGAAGACTTCTCAACAAATAATGGCTGAATCAAAAAAATGTCCTGTTAACCCTGAGGAAAGCAGAAAATTCAATTAACCAGCACCACAACTCCAAGATTCCTTTTAATCACAATGTTCCTCTATCTGGTGAGGGGGCAGCTAGCTACCTCACTTCAGTAAAACATAAACTGACTTTTGGAAAACCAAATGAAATAACAGATTGTTTTCACAAGTTAATTCTGCAATACAATATTAGAAGATAAAAATAATGTACTCCTTTGGGCCTGTGCAAGGGTTTTTAATAGACTTTAATGAAACTCTCTTTTTTAAGGGACATCAACTTTGGATAAGCGACTTGTAAATTCACTTCCAAACTTAATAGGCTTGATGCAATATCTCTTTGTAGCTCAAGTAATAATGACTTCATTCATACCTTGGTGCTTCCATTTCCTGTAAGCAACACATGGAACAGGTCTGTGATGTAACTGCTAAGCATGTGCTGGTGGTCATTGGTGACAGTCATGTTTGTTAACAATCTCAGTCCGGCCAGCTGCACAGCAGAGTCCAACAGACCAGAGAAGACATCCTCACAGACTTGATTGATGTACACCTGGAGGTGGGGGAAAACAGTGTGTATCTTAGAATCTCCAAAGGTCTTCTATTGAGCATAACTTTCTGCACAGTGGAGGAGGGTGGCTTACTCAGGTGAGACTGGCCCCTCAGAAAAGATGACATTTCTACCTAGCCCTAAAAGCTTCCCTTGTTAATGCCAGACACTGTGCTGGCAAATACACCTCACTTAGACATTTTACAGACAAGGACTTTAACGTCTTCAAGGAGCCTGGACGCCTGGCCCCACATAAGCCAGCTGGTGGGGGGAGCAGTGTCCAATGCCAGAGATCATGCTATCAATCCCAGCGGCCTCTCACATGTTACCTTTCTGGGTCAACGGGTCAGGGAGATGTGTGAGGCCATTCTACATCATGGCAAGTACCTTAATGAGGATCTAGGAGCTACATCGTGTTAGAAGTAAAGAACAGTGGGGACAAAGTGCAGTAGGATTTTTCTCTAGAATTAGTTCTATCAAAAATAAGCAGAGGCTAAACTATATTTGATCCAAGGTTCTTATCTACCTAGGTATGTGTATATGAACTCCTTCATAATATTGTTTCCCACAACTGGCAAAAAGTACTGGCAGTCCTCCTATTTCACACATCATAGAACCAAACCTACCTAGCATGACGGAAAATTTTCTGAAACTCTGCTTTCTATGTCTGGCCTTGATCATTCCAGCTTGGAAAAATTATGTCTTACAGATAACTGATATCCATGTAACTAAATCTGAACTCCACCAAAAGTTCTAACTGGTAAAAAAAAGCTTCCCAACATAAAATGCTAAGAAATTACCACCTGTGCCAAATGCCAGTATTAACTTAAAAAAAAAACACCCAAAGGTATTCATGTTATCATAGAAATAAAGGTAACGGCAGTAAAGCAGAGATTAAATTTTTAATCTGGTTTCAGATCTACATGATATTTGTTGAGTCAGCTGGTCCTCTTTGTCGCAATTTCATTACACATGCATCTTTTTAAAAATGGCTTTTCCTTAGCTCTTTATACATCATGTATTTTGTATGATGCTGGTATCTTTCAAGCATATCCTAAAACGTGTTGAGCATTTACATGCTTTCTCTTGGAATTTTCTCCTTCCCCAACCCCACCTGGAGAAACCTTAGACATTCCTAAAAGCCAGGCTGTACTCTACTTTCACAGAAACTTTTGGATGAGATTTCTCCTTTCCATGTACTCCTTTCCAAGTGATATTTCATTACATTTTTCCTCAAAGCACTCCATCACGTTCTGCCTTGAATTATAGCTGTTAAGGACTTACCTCACCCTTCCTTCCAGTTTTTTTTAAAACAAGAGTTAATCATGTTCATTTCTAAACTCTACCACAAGATCTCAATAAATGTTGAATTAACATAATTTCCCAATTACTGTATCTTTCTGCTGATGTTATCTGACTTTGGCTTGTTCTTCTATCACATGTCGATTAAACTGAGCCCCAAATTCAGAAGGCAACTGCACTTTTACTGGCTGGCTCAGGTCCCTCTCTCCTCTGCCTTATCCTACATCAAAAATGGGCAGAGGACCTGAATAGCCATTTTTCCTAAGAAAACATATAGATGATCAATAGGTTCATGAAATGATGCTCAGCGGCACGAGTGACTAGCGAAAGGCAAACCAAACCGCGATGAGGTATCACCTCGCCCCTGCTGGGGCGGCTGCTCCCAAAGACAGGAGGTAAGGGCTGGAGAGGATGTGAGGAGGAGGGAGCCTGTGTACTGTTGGTGGTTGGTACACTCATGATGGAAAAAGTGATGGAAAAAGAGTACGGAGATTTTTCAAAAAATTAAAAACAGAATTACCCAGTGACCCAGCAACCCCACTTCTGCATGCATACCCGAAAGAAGGGCAAGCACTCTCAAAGAGATCCCCGCACCTCCATGTTCACTGCAGCACTATTCACAACAGTCAGGGCAGTGAAATGACCCAAGTGTCCCCCGACGGATGAATGGGTAAAGAAAACAAGGTCCATATAAACAATGGACTGTTCTTTAGCCATAAAGAAGGAAATCCTGTCACTTACGACTAATGGATGGACCTTGAGGGCATTATGCTTACGGAAGTTAAGTCAGACACAGAAAAGTACTGCATCATCTCACTTTTATGTGGAGAGTCTAAAAAAGATGCACACACAGAAACAGAGCGCAGCATGCTGGCTGCCAGCCAGGGGTTGATGGAGGTGAAGGGAATAGGGAGCTAACATATAGTGGGGTGACTACAGGTAACAGTACTGCATTATATACTTGGAAGTTATTAAGAGTAGGTCTTAGATGTTCTTACCACACAAACAAAAAAATTATGAGGTATCAGCTAACACCACAGTGCTATTCAGTTTGCAATACATACTTGTATCAAATCATCACACTGTACACTTTAAACTTACACAATGTTATATGTCAATTTTATCTCAATAAAACTGGAAAAAAAATTAAGATAGTTCTTGGCCATATTATAAAAGATATCTACTAAAGTCTCATTACTTACTTTTTGTTATTTTCTCTTTCATTTAGAGAAAACTTACACATCTGTGATGTCAGATAACTTACTTTTATCTTTACTTGATTTTCAACATTCACACTCAGGTTATTCAGCGCATTTAAAGCTTTCTCTTTAATACTGTGGTTGGGACTGTTGATTTTGCTTCCAATGATGGGAATGCCACCCAAGTCACGAATAATGACCTAAGAGAGAAAAAGCAGGATCATGAGTTCAACACGTGCTCCAATTCTTCAAATTCTTTGCATCTACAAATACAATTATAAACTAACGGCTCTTTGGAAATACCTTTACCATCTAACAAAAAAAGAATTTTTTAATTCTTAAATTTTTTTTACTAATCCATAATTGTAGCAGTAATTAAGATCAACTGAAAATAAATTATTAAGATGCATAGTTACATAAATACAGCACGGAGCTCTACAATGAAGGTTTGCACAGCTACTGCAATGACCTAAAAGCAATTTACAAACAAAATTACTTTAAAATAAGTTATATGACTTCTCTAGAGGCAAATTTGGGAAGTATTATGATTTAGAATACTAAAGTAGTGTTTTGTTAAAATATACTCTTTGGAACACTAATCCGTCAAGATGTTAACAGATGTTCTATTAAGAAAAAAAAGGTTAAGTAAGTTTGGGAAACTGGGTATAAAAAAACATGTTTAATGTGAAGCATTCATATGTTCATGTGCATTGGGAATTGCCAAGAGTGTGGAGTACTGAATATAATATTTCTACGAAATATACACAAAAAGAGGGTCATTTTTCAGTGGGGGACACCTAGGAACATCTTGAAGAACTGGAGTTGCAGTTTGAAAAGTGGCACCTGAATTTTCAAAGGAAGAATAATCTGTAGATTCTCACCCTTAACTGCAACACCATGTTACTATGTGTGTTTGGCCCCAATACTGAAAGTTTTGTCAACTGAGTTCTTACAATAAAAGTAAGCTGAAAATTACTCCTGTCAGGTCAACACATGCCATTCTATCAGAAAAAGAGAGAAAGAGTATCTTACTGTCATCTATTTTTTATCAACAGCCCAAAACCCTACTGTACTGTTAAGGGTGGGCTTAGCACTGAGAGAAAAAGGAACTCCCTCTGCAACTCCAGGTTTTTTTCCAAGGATTTATCATTACTAGAAAATAGTCTTTTCTTTTTTAACTATGTTATTAAAGCAGATTAAAGCACTAGAATTGATGACAAAGGGCACTGACTCTCACCAGCCCTGCCAAGAAAGCACCTGTTTAAGCAGTGGCTACTGATCCACTCTGACTAGTTTCAGAGGGACGGACATAAAACTATGGCATCAGAAATACCCAATACAGGTGTGCTAATCAATTAGTCACCCCCTTTGGTGTTTTTGTTTGCCTGGCACCCCTCCTTCCCCTGGGGCAGACAGGGCTCACCCTCTATCCCATACAGTCCCTGATGCGGAAACAAATGCTACTCCTGGGTATCCAAGTTAACTGAGCTCAGTATTTCCCCTTTTTGGTTTAAAATAATTTAAGTTGGGTTCTGTCACTTGCAATTGAAAGTGTAATACACAAACATTTTTTATATATCCCTATAAATCTCTTTGAGTTTTACAGTAAACCTCATCATGTTAGAGGAAACTGGGCTGATAGACAGTATAAATTCAAAATAATTTTGCATTCATGACAATGTTAACAAAGGGCATTAGCTGAAAATGATTACAAAAATTGTTTACTTTCTACATGTGGGAGAGGGAGAGAAGGAAGCAATCAAATTATGCTCTTCAGTCTTTGTGTTAAGTTTCTACTCGTAGAGATGTTTATGCTGCTAGTGGTTGTCAGAGTGTGGTCCCGGGACCACCTCCATCCAACCATCCTCAGAAGACTTGTATTCAATGTATACTTGAAAGTCAGATGCTTTCATTGTTTTACTGCAGCAGTGCTGAATTTTTAATTAAAATAGGTCACACAGTGCTAACTAAGTGCTGATAAATTAGACACACTTACTCCAAATGTGATGCCTGTGACCAATTTCACAGGGGTCTAAAATCCTATTAATAATCTTATTATTAGGATGCACTTTTCAGAAGTAAACAAACATTATGCTGTAGGTATACACAGCTGCACTGTACAGATGACGAAACTGAGGCTCTGGGAAGTAACTTCTCAGAATTACAATCACTGCTGGCACACAGAATAGGAGGAGGCTGTCTGCAGAGACCAGGGCACTTACTTGGTTAGCTGAGAAGGCTGCATTGTTGCCCAGAGTGACCAAAGCTCTCTCGATAATTACAGGATCCTCAGTTGACTCAAGCAGGTAAAGGAGTTTCTCAAGTTGTTCAGCATTTAGGACATCATCATATGAACCATCGGTTAAGTCTTCTGCAGAAGAACAAAGTTATACAAAGTTCATTTAAAATCAGTATGAGATTTAAAAAAAATTAAGAACAGTATTAAATACATATCCAATATTAGGCAGTTTTAAGCACTTCATATGCTTTATCTCGCTTAGAAGAAGATACTATTATAATTCTCAATTTACAGATTGGAAACTGAGGCTTACAGACATTAAGAAATTAGCCAATGGTAACTTGGTATTTCTCTTTTAGGAAGGCACTGAATGCCCACAGCATTTATTTCTTCTTTTAAAGATCAGGTTATGCCTGTCAAAAGGAACACCTGCTTACATAGGCACAGATTAATTAAGGAGCAGAATTTGCATTATGCAGAATTTTTCTGATCATTTTTTTAAGAGCACCTCAGACAGGAGAAAAAGCTAGGGGGTAACCCAATCATGTTGCTAGTGGGGTGTTTTTGCCTGGTTTATATGAATGTGGCCTGAGAGTAGATGCTAGAATGGTCCTGTCGAGGGTGATGGCAAACAGAAAAGCTCTCATTTGGAGTTAAAACTAGATGCTGCCAGTGCTCAGGGACTTTTTGAATTTTACAGCCTATCTTAAAAAAAAATGTTATTTACAGAAATTGTAAAATGGAAAACCAGAAACAATTTTTTTTTTACCACCATCATTGTGTTATAGACATAGAACATGATTCCTTCAAAATTGAACTACCATTATACGTATCTACAGCACACTGCCTGAGAGGGATGTTACACATCAGATGCTATATGGTGTCACAATCTGTGCTTTAAAAAAATATTCCAAGTCATTAAAGGTGCTTGTCTTTGTGTGCCAGGATTATGAATGACAGTTTCAAGTTCATGGACAGTGCACAGTGATGGCGGCAGCTTGGTGCTGAGGACTGAGAGTAGTTTAAGCCTGGAAGGAGCAGGGTGAGGACACTGCATAGGCTGGCTGCAACCCAAACACTGTCTGCTGTTTTCGCAAAGCGAAAATCCCCCTGGGGTTTCTTCTGGCTAGCGCTAACAGCACTAATGCAGGTCTTTCATAGAAACACAGTTGTGTCACTTGAACTTTTGAAAAGTGGGAGATATCTGTATTTCTATACATCTTCCCACAGATTTAAAACAAAAAACTTTATAAATATATAAATTATTTATAAGTAGATAAACACAATTTTATTACGGAATAGTGTTAAATTACAGCATTTTTCCCTTGAAGGGAGGAGGAGCAATACAGTAGTTAAAAGCATGCCAAGGCTATGGAGCCAGGCTGTCTAGTTTAAATTCCAAGTAAGCTGATCACCAGTAGAGATGTAAGCTCTCTAAATCTCAGTTTTTTCATCTATATAATGGTAATTAACAGTGCCTACCAATTAAGGAGGGGGGTTCTGACACCCAATTCCAACGTTGGGGGTTTCCCCACATGTCCAACAGTTCTCCAGACCCTGGATGGATGTCCTGCAGTTTAACTCAATGCTGACACTTTCCACCTGGAGACAGGATCAAATCCGACAAGTGGGGAGCTCAGGCCCTGAAGAGAACCCTTCACATCAGATGTCAACTGCAAGCCCATATTGTTATGTGAGCTTCTGATTGCTGGTTATCAATCAGAGGTTCCTACGACCCCTTCTTGGGTTACAAGTTAAGTGCTCAGTCCTACAATACTGCCCCCTGGCCCCCACTTCAGATGCCAGTTCCAAGCCCACGTTGTCACCTGTGCTTCTGACCTACCAGTTATAGATTGAGGGTTCCAATGACCCCTCCTTGGGTATGACTGATTTACCAGAGCAGTTCAGAGCTCAGAGAAACATTTTACTGGCTTACTGTAAAGGGATGTAACTTAGAAACAGCCAGATGGAAGAGATGCATAGGGCAAAGTCTGGGGCGGGGGTGAGAAGCTGCCACCCCTGTACTACACACAGCTGGGTAATAACAAAACTGGCTCCAGATCCAGATCTTTTCACTCCCAGTTCATTATTCCTCCCCCTAACATCACCATTCCTACTAATCTATCAAAATGATGAGCCTCATTTAAATTTAGATAAATCCTAACTTCCCTGCTTTAATTTTTAATAAAAACCATGTCTTACTTTTTCAGCAAAAAAAAACAAAACTTAAAACTTTAAACTTTAGAGGATGGCAATCACCAAATACCCAGATTTCCCACCGGTGAGTTCCTGAACTATTACACAGCTGAGGCAGTCAGACGCGCATGTGGGTCCTAGTTCTCTACTTAGCATTGTGCCAGTAAGACTGCAAAAAGAATTTTTAGGCTCTGGTTCACATGTCCTTAAGTAAACTAAGAAGAAATTACAATTCTCACAGGAAATGAAAATTACTAAAAAGTATTATAGCAAGATAAATTAAAATATAATTGTCCTGGTACAGAAACATTCCAACCAGGAGGATCCCATGCTTTGCTGTTTATGTAGTCTTATATTTTCATTAAAATAATGTTCACATAAGTTTCTTGCTAGATGTATTCCTGGTTTTTAAAGTTTTTATAGCGATCATGAATGAAACATTTTAATTTAATTTTTGAATTGACTATCGCTTGTTTATAAAAGCTATTGATTTGGACAAATTTATCTTACATTCAAGTTAGTTTATGGAATTCCTACTGCCTCTAAAAGTTATCCAGTTGATTCTCTTGGATTTTTCCAAAAAAATCACTATGCCATCTACTAATAATGTTATCTCCTTTCTAATACTTATGATTTTTTTTGTTTATCAAGGTTGCCATGACTCTAGGACAATACTGAATAGTAGTTGTGATAGCAGCACTCTTCTTCTTGAGTTTAGTAAGGATGCTACTAGTGTTTCACCATTAAATATAATGTTTGGTTTTGGTTTTGATGGATGTTCTTCATCAACTTAAGAACATTTCCTTTTATTTATTCCTAATTTGTTGCAAATTTTTGTGAGAATGAACACAGATGCAGAAATCCTCAACAAAATATTAGCATACTGAATTCAATAATACATTAAAAGGATCACATACAATGATAAACTGGGATTTATTATAGGAATCAAGAAAGGATGGTTCAACATGTGCAATGAATCGATGTGATATACATGAACAAAATGAAGGATGAAAATAATAACCCTAATAAATGCAGAAAAAGCATTTTATAAAATACGTCTATTTATGATAAAAACTCTCAACTAAGTGCATATAGAACAAATGTACCTCAACTTAATATGGGTCATATATGACAAACACACAGATGTCATTACACTGCATGGTGAAAAGCTGAAAGTTTTTCCTCTAAGATCTGGAACAAGACAAAGACACCAATTTTCACCACTTTCATTCAACATAGCACTCTAAGTCTCAGCCAGGGCAATAAGGCATGAAAAAGAAATAGAAGGTATCCCCTCAAAAAGGAAGAAATAAAACTCTATTTGCAGTTGACATTATATTACATATAGAAAACCCTGAAGAATGCCATAGAAAAAACTGTTAGAAGTCAAACAGATTCAGCAGTTTCAGGATACAAAACCAATATAAAAAAATCAGTTGTATTTCTATACACTGATACAAACTATCAGAAAGAGAAGCTAAGAAAACAATCCTACTTACAACTGTATCAAAAAGAATAACATACTTAGGAATAAATTTAACCAAGGAGGTCAAAGACCTGTACTCTGGAAACTGTAAGACACTGATGGAAGAAGTTGAAGACAACATAAATAAATGGCAAAATACTTGAACTCATGGAGTGGAAAAATGAATATTGTTAAGATGTCCATACTTCTCAAAGTGAATTACAGATTCAATGCAATCTCTATCAAAATTCCAGTGGCATTTTTCCACAGAAATAGAACAAATTACCCTAAAATTCATATGGAACTACAAGAGACCTGAATAGCCAAAGCAATCTTGAAAACAAAGCTGGGTACATGACATTTGCCGATTTCAAAATGTATTACAAAGCTATAGTACTTTAAAACAGTATATTAGCATAACAACAGACACATAGATCAATAGAACAGAGCAGGTCCCCAGAATAAAACCCATGCACATACGGCCAATTAATTTTTGAGGAAGGAGCCAAGAATATGCAGTGGGGAAGGGACATTCCCTTCAATGAGATGGTGCTGGGAAAACTGGACAACCACAAGCAAAAAGATGCACCTGGTTCACTGCCTTACACCATACACAGAGGTCAGCTCATCATGGACTGAAGTCTTGGGCACAAGACCTGAAACCATAAAACTCCTAGGAGAACGCATAGGTGGTAAGCAACTTCACATTGGTCTCAGACTGATTTTTAGACTTGATACCAAAAGCAAAACCAAACAAGTGGGATATCAAACTAAAATGTTTTTGCATATCAAAGGAAACCATCAACAAAAATGACAGGCAACCTACTGAATGGAGAAAAATATTTGCAAATCATGTCTGATGGATGTCTAATATTCAAAATATAAAAAGAACTCATGCAATTCAACAGAAAAGCCAAACAATCTGATTAAAATCTGATTAAAAAATAGGCAGAGGATAGGAATCAACATTTTCCCAGAGAAGATTCACAAATGGCCAACAGACACATGAAAAAGTGCTCAACATCTCTAATTATCAGGGAAATGCAATCAAATCACAGCCATTAGAATGGCTAGCATCAAAAAGACAAGAAATAACAAGGGTTGGTAAGGATGTGGAGAAAAGGGAACTGTTGGGAATGTAAATTGGTGCAGCCACTATGGAAAACAGTACAGAAGTTCCTAAAAATAAATTAAAAATACAGCTTTAGTCCAGCGATTCCACTTCTGGGTATTTTTCTCAAGAAAACAAAATCATTATTTCAAGAAGTATATGCACCGCTATGTTCACTGCAGCATTATTTACAATAGCCAGCACATGAAAACAACTTAGGTGTCCACTGATGAATGAATATATAAAAAGTGGTGTGTGCAGAGAAGACAAGTAGTGATTTTACAGCATCTTACTACACAGATGGACAGTGACTGTGAAGGGGTATGTGGGGGGGACTTGGTGAAGGGGGGAACCTAGTAAACATAATGTTCTTTCTGTAATTGTAGATTAATGATTCCAAAATAAAAAATAAAAAATAAATGCAAGGCAAAAAAAAAAGTGGTGTATGTGCATGTATATACATACGTACATATATATATATATATATATATATACATACATACATACACATAATACTACTCAGCCATTAAAAGAAAAGAGAAAAGATAAGAACTCAAGACACAGAGAATGAATGGTGGTTGCTGGATGCAAGGGTGGGCTAAGGGGTACAATAAAATGGGTGAAGGTGGTTATAGGCACAAACTTTGAGTTATAAGATAAATTGGTCCTAGGATGTAATATACAGCTTGTGACCATAGTTAACAATACTATATTGTATATCTGAAAAGTTACTAGGAGAGTAATCTTAACAGTTCTCATCACAAGCAAAATTTTGTATGGTGATGACTGTCAAATAAACTTACTGTGGTGATCGTTTTGCAATATATATATCTATATATATATCAAATGATTATGTCATACCTAAAATGAATAGTGTTTTATGTCAATTATATCTCAATTTAAAGAAAGAGATCACTCTTTGAAATCTAAGGATGATGCTAACAAAATGGGCATATATCAAGTCTTCTTCAAAGATAATGTGGAGCTTCAAGAAGAAAGGATGGTGAACAACTTATTTTGTAAACTATCTGACTTAAGGTAATGGTGATTTTGGGAACTGGTAAAATTAAGTTTAAAAGTAAGCCTGTTAGTATTCATCAGCTTGAGTCAGTGTAAGTGAGAAGGTATTGGGAGTCCAGGCCACCTAACCGATTATTTATCTAGAAACAGTAAATATTTAACAAAGACAATAAATTAGACTTGTACTTAAGGGTAAATACAATCTTTTCTTTTTAATGGCATTTTCCCTGTGCCAAAAGAGAAATTGACCCACTGCACCGCCCCCCTCCCCACTTCTTGGGAGCTAATCTGTAAATCCTTTGTCTCCTTCATATAAATTTACTTTTTAAAAGTAAAGTAAGTCTCTTGCCAATTGACCAAAGTCTTCCTTAGCGACTTTCGGGTCAGGTGTAATGTAAACGTCGAGGAACTGCCCCCATTTCCTTGTCCCTGTTTGAGTTAGGCTTCGTTCCATGTTGCAACTACCTGTTTATCATAAAGATACTTTTAAGTCTTATTTTTCCTCCGGCTAACGGCAATTAGCTAACACAGCGCCACCACAATTACCAGTGATTCTGGGATGGACTATGTGTGGCAAGTCCTCTTAAGGACAAGTTACCGTTTATCTTGAGAATATGTAGGTAGTACGGAATGGGTGTATCTGCAGCAGTGAGAATTCTGTCTTTGCAATCGCATTAGCAGATTCCCTGTCAAGGGTTTAGCAATCTGGTTTCATGCTTATTCGATAATACAGCTATTCGTTCTTTTCTATATTTGTGGAAAGGAGTTTCTTGGTTGGCAGCCTTTTACTTCGAATTATTTCCCCAACAGCTTCCAAGACGTGAAACATCCAGAACATCCTGCAAACTGATAGAATCCTGAACGCACCAGTCAACTTTTGGACAGAAACCTGATCATGCATTTATGTGCCAGGAGGGTGTCCCCTATGCAGACAACTGTTCCAACTTGATGTACAGATACCTGTAACTCCAGGATCTCTTTGCAACTGTGCACATACATGTACCACTTTAAGGTACTCCCTGTGGCAACTGTACGCAGAATTTCACCCACCTCTCCAGGCCCCGCAACACCCCGTCCACACACGGGGGGCCTTGGGTAACTCAAGGGCAGGGAAGCTTTAACTGAGAGGTAATTAACATGCTTTTGAGAAACTTAATTCTCCGCTGTGACACCGAACAGTAAAGTTTGGGAACTTTTTACCCCAGAATTTTGAACAAAGAAGTGAAGGCTGGGAAGCGGACGATCGGCCTTCCGCACCTGGGCTTCCCAACCTCGCCCCTCTCAGGAAACACCCTCCCTCCCCTGGCTCGTCTCTCATCACTCCGAGCACAGGAAAGCCACCGGCGCCCGAGGGGAAGGCCCCAAGCCCCGTTCCCGCCCACCTGCTAGGCCCCGGGCCTCACCTGCGGACCGCGAGGGGCGCCGCCCGAGCTCGCGGCCGCCTCGCCGCTGGCCCCGCACCAGCCTGTAAATGCAGTAGCAGGCTCCCGCCCCGAGGACTAGGCCCGCCGCCACCCACACCGCATTCCGGGCGCCGCCCATGCCGCCGCCGGGGCCGGGCGCAGCGCTGGCCTGGCGCGCGAGGCTCGCGTGGGCCGGCGCCGGGGTCTCCGAGGCAGGCGGGCTCCACCACCGCCAGAGCAGAGAGGAAATGGGGTCTGAGCTCCGCCTCCCGGAAACGATCCAGCTCCACCGGTAACTCCGCCCACTCCCGCCCCGGCGCGACCGGCGACCCAGCCCAAGCGCGACGGACCCCAGGACTTGCGGAGAGCTTCCCTCAGTGCACGCCCCAGGGGGATGCCCCCAGGGCCGCCGCCGCCCGGAGGCGGTTCCCTCGCTTGCTCACGGGCTGTAAACCTGTAAACCGGACCCGAGGCCCACCTTCCTCCCGCTTCCCACCGCCGCGGCGCGGGACCTCGGTGCACCCTACCCCCCACCGCCCCGCGGTTGCCGGGCAACCCCGGGACGCGCTAGCCGGGAGCCGGCACGCGTCTGCGGCTGCGCGGGCCGTTGGTGAGCAGACTGCTAGGGCCGTTGCAGCGCCATGGCCTAGCTACGTACTGCCCGCCCCAGGCTGAGGAACTACTTCAAGAAGTACATTCCTCAGGTCTGCGAGGTACTAGAGCCACGCGGCGGCGGAATTAGAAGAGGGAGGACCCGGGAGATTTCCCAGAGGAGGGGCTTGGCGAAGAGAGGACGCGGAGGGAGGAGTGTGATGGGTCTGGACGAAGTCGGCCTTGGGTGAGCCGTTGTTCTGGGCTGGAGATACAGATCAGTGAGAAGACACAGGGCGCATGGTGGCTGAGAGGGGGGACTGGGGAGACGGTTCCCAGGGAGAAAGAGCAGAGCCCCCAAACTCCAACTTTTAAGATTTGGAAAAGAGGAGCCTGAGAACAAGAGAAACGAGAGAGAAGTGTCCTAGAGACGAAGGAGGAAAATAAGGAGTGTGGCTTTATGAAGAGAGGAAAATAGTGTCACCTAAGATAAGGACCTGGAGGGGTGTAATGGATTTGGCCCAAGGTGAGCCTGGGGTTTCAGTGGAGCGTTGACGGCAGAAGATAGATTAAGGTTAGCTGAGGAGAGAGTGGAAGCTGAGACCTTTAGACAGAAGGTGGCCAGCCCTTTGGGAAGGAAGGGACCCACCACCAATACTACCTTAAACGGGGGAAGGACTGCCCTTCCGTCCCTCCCCTTCTCCCCGTTGTACCAGAAGGGAAGGAGTACAGGGTGGGTGGGTAGGCTTTGCAGGTTTGGGGATAGGAAGCTAGGAAAGTTCTCCTCTGGTGACTTCAAACATTTGGTAAGGTATTTGCCAAGAATGTGTGTGGGTGGGTGGGGATGGAACGCGCAGAAAGGGTTTTGAGCAGAGATAAGTTAGTTACGTGGAGAATGATGGAGACAGAAGTCCAGCGAAGGAAAGAGGAAAACAGGGCTGCGTTGAGAGCCCACCTGGGGGGTAGTAACCCTCCTACGTAGTTAGGAAGGCAACTTTATGCAGTCCCAATGGTAATTTAGAAGTATTAAAATATGAAATACATATATCCTTTGATAAAGCATTTCTACTTCTAGGGATCTGCTCTAGAGATACACTTCATATGTACTCAGAAGGATGTACAAGGATATTCACTATAATGAAAATAGTAAATAACTGTGAATAAGGGAATGGGGTAGCATAGAGAATAAAGTATATGTGCATTTCGAGAAGAAAAGCTGTCCAAGACAAATTTTAAAAAAGAAAAAAAAGTAAAAATATGTAAGTCACCCAACAAAGTGTCTACTACAATCTAGCTGTGTGATTTCATATGTGTATATATGTATCTGTGCTTTTATGTAGGTATACATGCATATGTCTATATTTAAGACTAACACGTGCCATACTATTAGCAGCAAATGTCTTGGGGGATAGTTTTAGGGGAGAAGTCTAATATTTTACTATATATACATGTGTATCAATCTTTCATGATGATTTTCATGATGTTTTACCTCTAGATGGTACTTATCTTCCGAGTTGTGTGATTTTTCTCAAGTAGCGCTCAGTAAACCGGATGTTGGAAGACAGAAACAAGAGTTGACTTCATCTATGATAGGAGTTTGCCAGGTTCATAGAATGGCAGGACAACGGTGAGGGTACTTTCTGAGAGCGTCTGAGGGTGGGCTATAGACTCTAAGAACTAGGTGGGAAATGATAACAAGATACAATACTGATATATGGGTAGCAAGTGGGAGCTGGTAGGGGTGAGTGAATAGGGGTAGAGGGAGTAATGAGTAATGAGTGAGGGAGCTGGAAAAGTGGGAGGTAGGGGTCAGAAAGAAGAATGTTTGAATTTAAGATTCATCAGATGTGAATGCATGGATAGATCCCTTCTGAGTGACGACTCACTCCAGGCTGGCCTTGGAGCAGGTAGCAGAAGCAGACTTGAGGGCCAGAGAATATCAGGGCAATGATAGCCTCTCCTCACCTTGCTCTCCACCTGCCATAGAGTTACACAAGATGCCCCGGTTTCTGCTCTGGGTGACAGCACCCCTCCTCCCCAGCCTGCCACATTGTTCTGCCCCCAGGAAAGGAGGCCGTTAGCAGTGCTCTCTACAGTGTAAGCTAATATTCTCCCAAGAAGTCCTTCATCACCTCAGCCACCACATCACCAGCAGGTGGGAGACACAGTCTTGTGTGCCTCACACACCCACCTTCATCTGGTTACCTGCTTCCCCTAACAGACAGTCGGGGTGAATTCTGTTGAGTCTCATATCCCTCCCTGTACATTCATTCATTCATCTCACCCAATTTTCCAGGCCTACAACTCCTCTAAAACCTATCTTCTGCAAGTCTTGAAATACATTGTTTCCTCAGAGATTGCCCTGTATATTTAACCTCTTCTGAACTTTGCCTACCAGTCCTAAGTGTAAGATAAATTCTAGCTGAAATAAGCAGGCAAAGAGAGGCAACAAAGGGCCAGGTAATTTATTTGAATGCCCCTGGGCGGGGTTCCGCTGTCTGGCTATCACAGCCTGGGGAAGTCACGCTAAAGTAGATAGGCAGCGAATTTTTAAAGAAGGTAGGGGGAGGCAGAGCTTAGATTTACAGCGGCGCGGCGCGAGGATCGGCTAGCCTAAGGCACATTTTTCAGGTTGGAAGGGGGCAGCAGCCAGGGACTTTGGCACGTCATCAGTGTCTGATGTGCTCACCCCTTCCCCCAGTGCCTTCAACCTTACACTAAGTAAAACCTGGGTATCTTCTTAGAATATCAGTTCCCTGCCACTTCTTGAATAGCAGCTCGTTTTTAAAAGATCCTGCTTGGTTCACTGGCCCTACTGATTCTGTTAATATTTCTTACCAATTTTAGAAAATTCTCAGTCTATTTCAAATATTCCTTCTACCAATTCTTCTCCCTCTGCGACACCAATCATAAAGGCATTAGGTTGTTTGGTTTGTTTGGATTTTACTTTTTGTTTTTTACTTTGTCCTACATGCCCCATTTGCTCTCTTCTGTTGGCCCTTTTTATTAATCTTCGGTTTACTTTCAGGTATCGAGTTTCTAAAATAAAATTGGGTGCCCTCTATTTAAATGTCGAGAAGACACAAAGGCCCTTTTATTTACAAATTTTTAACTTACTAACTCTTAGAAAAAAATTGAAACACCATGCCAATTCCATCCTGACCACAGATGAGGGTGGCATTTATGAGATACTGCTTTGGACTTGTTGGGGGTTGGAGAGGGTAGGGAGGTAGAAGGAACTTTAAACTGTTTAGAGCCTTAAACGTGTTCCTAAGTAAAGGGATTTCTGTAACTGTGATTCTGATACTACATTTTTAAAAGCAATCTCACCTAAAAAACAAACAAGGTACGAACAGCATTGATTATTCTACCATCTACTTAAAATAAGAATGTTTCTGGGTTTGCATATGGATAAAACATTTCCAGATAGATAACATGAGAAAAAAACCCTCAAGTTCTGGAAAAAGGTACACATGCACATAATTTTGTGTGGGTGTGTGATATGGGCAAGGGAGGAGCCCTGGGTTTGTGGTTTTAAACCTGCTGGCTCTGGGAATCTTTGCCTCACCTGGGAAATCCAGAAGCAAGAATATACCCTCTAAGGGTCAGGTCATCCCTGGTGGGATCTTGGTATAAACTGAACTCTGTCTCTCTTATGTATGGCCATCTGCAACCTCTGGCCATGTGATCTAGCTGGGGTTTGAGCATGAACCATCCGTTGGGTCTAGAGGAGGACCCAGTCCCGGCTCCGAGTAGAGAATTCTGCCTTCTTCACAGAGCTGCTCTGTCTGGTGCTCTCTTGTATTAATCCTTTACTTCAGCCAAACTGGTCTGTGCCCCTGAGGCTTTGCCCTTGCCGAGAGAAAACCCTACAGGCCTCCCCCCACCACATGTCTTCTATCTATCCCTAGTTCTAACATAGATAGTTCTATCTTGCTATTTATATTTAAACTATTGTTCTACCTAGTGCTCTCTCCTAACCATTTTTCCCAAATGTATTTGTCCTAATCTCTTCCATAAACTTGGTATAAAGTCAGTCTATCAGCACAAGGGCATATTTTTGAACTTTTTCTCTCTTTGTCCAAGTCTTTTCATTTAATGGAGGTGATAATTAGCAGTGAGATGGCTAAAAAAATGATGATGGCTTGCTATCATTATTACCTATTGAGTGCTTACTTTTTGCTGGACATTATCAGAATACTTTACATATATTAATTCAATTCTATGACAGCCCTATGACACATATGTACCTTTATGATCCAAGTACAGTTAAGGGAACAGAGGGACAGAGAAGTAAGTTGTCAGAGGTGACACACCAGAAGACTGTAGACCCAGGACTTAAAGCCAGGGGCCTTCTTGTGAGATGGGTACTAGACGAAAGGAATATAAACATCTGTTTTGATAAGCCCATGTTTGTTGTCAGAAACATGTCAGTACATGTTTCAGAATATTTGAGAAATATTGGGGACTGAGATTAGGAAGGCAGAGTCGAAAGAATGGGGATTACATAATCGTTTTGTGAGTGTACAAGCTTGAGAAAACCAATCTGGAGAATAAAGTCATGGCCTTCTTTGCCCTTAGTTGTGTAAGTTTTTACTAAGAAGTCTAACAGTGTTAAAATTCTATTAATGTTTTTGAGAGTCAAATATTCATTTTGTGGGAATGTCTATATAT